TATCATCCATTAGCATTGGTTATCTATCAATGTATTTCATTCTTAATTCCTCCATTACTCCCTTTGTAACCTATGTAACATATGTAACTCCCTTTGTAACATATGTAACATATGTAACTCTCATTGTAACCTATGTAACCTCCATTGTAACCTATGTAACTCCTAAGGCCATTATCTTCACTATTTACTACCTCCATTATCTTCCTATTCATTGTTAGAAGACTTCTTGTAGTATAAATAGTGGTAGTCTTCATTTGGTTTTGGAGACACACAATTTATAAGAGAAAACAAAAAGTGAAAGAGTTAATCTAATAGAGAGTTCTTATTAGTTGAAGGGAGGTGTTTTTTTTTGTGGAGCCTTGGACTCAACTCTTGTCCAGAGTTGTTGAGTTATACTTTGTAAAGGTTGTTGTATCCTGGAGGGGACAAGTCAAAGAGGACTACTGCTGGACCGGTGAAAACATTAGCTGCAGTGGGCATGAATCTCCTTAAAGAGAGCGAGATATCCGCGCCTCAGCCTGAAGAGATTACTTTCTTCATTTTATTTTCAATTGTAATCTTGCAATTTTATTATATTGTAAGTTTTTTCACTAACAACTAAAATTTAAAATGGTAGATGAAATGAAAATCATAACTATGGGGTATATTCCCATAATTAATTAGTACTCCACCCTTCAATTTATATGACCTATTTTATCTTCCTTTCTATAAATCTGACCCCCAAAATGTCATATTCTCGTGTTTAATAATTAAATATCGTATAATTGAGATGAAACAAAGAACATTAATTATTAGTTAGGAATTATATCATAGTTCATTATATTTAAGAAACTCCAATTAACATCTTATAACATGTAAGATGACATGTTTATTCAATAATTATATAATTTAAGCTATAATATTATTGAATTTTATCAAATTTATAACGATTGCTCTGCCTTGGCCGTGACCTAGACCTAGACCATGGACCTAAGTGACGGTAACATTACCCTATCCAACCCTAAAGCTCTCCACACAGCAATGGAACCATCCACAATGTTATTTTTATATGGAATTTGAAAAGTATGTTTCGCATTACAATACATAGTAAAATCTCATTCGTCCACTACTTTAGCTATCACGATCCTCCTGTTACTTTTAGTACGAATACTTATCATTTTACCACACATTAAACCTCCCGCGAACCATCCAGTAGACAATGCTACTTTTCTTTTGTTATTATTATGATATTTCTGATCACACGATGATAAACTACCCCCGTTTTTACCACTGTACAAAAGGGCTATTTTTGCAAAATTTGGTTCCAACGTTAGATCATCGTTACATTTTCCGTTTATGCAAATTAATTGACCGTCACAATCGTCCCAAGTTTTACAAGGGCCGTTACATTAGGAAACGGCGTTAGAAGTAGAGATGAAAATTAGAGAAAGAATGGCTAGATTGGACATTGTGGCTATTTTTGTAATGATTGAAAAAGGTTATATGTGTAAGAAAGTGTTGATGGATGAATAAAACTGTCTAAATATATGAATATATATAGGGAAAAATGATATCGTGACTCATGATTTATTCGTTCATAAGTTACTTACTTTGAAATTAGCTAAATCGAGATAAGATTAAACAATAAATTATAGTTTTGACTTAAGTTTTACTTGTTTTTTTCTTTCAAAAAACATTCGGATATAAATAGAGTTGATCAAGTACCATGAAGTCTCGGGTTCAAATTCTAGCAAACACAAAATATTAAGTAATTTCTCTTCATCGTTTTAGTTTTGATGAAAAAATTTACTTGGTACACGTACAAACTAACCTGAAAACCACTATGTTATATAATAATATGAAATCCTTCTAAATTTTATATAGGGTTGGACTAGTAACATTTTTATTATATTGGATAACTATTATTAGACAAAGAGATCGACTATGATTTAAACAGATAAAAAAGGAACTAGATAGAAATATTTTATATTAAATTTCTGGTAAATTAATTAATTTTTCCAGTATTAACATTAGGGAAATCAAGAAGTAAAAGGAGAGTAATTAGGGAGAAAATTAAACCATAGAGAGGTATGCTATTCTAGGTAGTGGCTGCTAATGATATAATAAATTCATTTTTACTCAATAATGGATAGTTATATTTCTAGATCTTTTCTAACGAACGATAAAAAGATAAGTCTATTACATAACGCGATAAAAAGAAGGATCTAGAAATAAACAAAGAGGATTAATTTCATCGTCTTAAAATATCGACCATTTTAAAGGTTGGACAACCATGCAAGTTTAAAAGTTTTATATAGAATATAGTGGATATATATTTATCATGTATCTGTCGATAGTCTAAGTATGGATAATTAAGTTACAAATATTTTCATCAAATAACACTTATCCACGACTCTATACTTAGTCATAGATCTTTCAAACATTTTGATAACGATTAATTATGTTAGTTTCTCTAATTAAAAATAGAACTTAATAGTCCACTTTTTAGAACTGTCCATATACTGCAAATTCATTTGTCATTTTTCATAGTTGTTTTTGAAATATAACTAATTTGTTAAGAAACTCACATATTGTCTTTGATTTTTAAAATCACAATTGTTTCTTTTTATTATTTGGAAAAAACGATAGTATACTTAATGAGAAAAATATAATATTTATATTTGGTTAATCCTCATTCTTTTGGAGAAAATGTTTTGATGGGAGTCCTGTTTAGGAGAGAATATTTATTTTTTCGTCATAAATTATTTATCGTATTTTTCTTATCAGTCAATCAATTAAAAATATCCACCTACCTAATGGTTCATATGTATCAATTTGATGCCGGTACTAGTGTATATTCATGTATAACAACAGTAAAATAAGTGTATAATGTATATATCCTAAAATTTCTTTCGTGACATAATATACACATTCTATACGATATAATACACGTAGGATATCAAATTATCATGAAATACACCATATAGAACGAATGTATTTTTTTGTTCAATCTCATACTAATTTAAATATCTACACATTCAAAATAAGCAGATATAAATGCTAATAAAGATCAAGTTAAATGACACATTATGACGACTTCCTTGTGTTATCAACTAGAGGAAGTGATCTTGCAATAAGATCGTGACATGATATTAAAAAAAAAAGTTGAACATCACCACATAAATATTATTTTTTGTTATATCATAGTTTATTAATTTTAAGGAACTCCAATGTACATCTTATTACATGCAAGATGACACGCTTATTATATAATTTGGTGTATAAAGTTATTAAATTCTATCGAAATTCATAATTATCGCTCCATCCCGACCTAGACCATGGACCAAGTGACAGGAACTATACCCAAATTTGTATTCAACCCTAAAGCTCTCCACACAGCAATTGAACCATCCACTATGTTATTTTTGCATGGACTTTGAAACGCGTGTTCCGCATCACAACCCATAGTAGAATCACATTCATCAACTACTTTAGCTGTTACGGTCTTTCCATTATTAGCACGAATACGTATCATTTTACCACACCTTGAACGTCCCGCGAACCATCCAGTAGACAATGCCACTATACTTTCGTTGTTATCATGATATTTCCCGTCACATGACGATGGACCCCCACCATCTCCGCCTCTAGCAAAGTTGTTGAGGGTTAGTTGAGCGGGCGTTGACGAGGTGACAGGTGGCGAGCAACGATAGATTGGGTGTACACCGTTGCAATTGATTGTGCCAGATGGACGACATGTATTGGACGGAGTCGGAGAAGGGACAGAAGGAGGGCTATTTTTGCAAACTTTGGTTCCAACGTTAGGATCGTCGTTACATTTTCCGTTTATGCAAATTAATTGACCATCACAATCGTCCCATGTTTTACAAGGGCCGTTACATTGGGAAATGGCGTTAGAAGTAGAGATGAAAATGGTGAAAATTAGTGAAAGAATGGCTAGATTGGACATTGTGGCTATTTTTGTAATGATTGAAAAGGGTTATATGTGTAAGAATAGTGTTGATTGGTGAATAAAACTGTCTTAATGTATGAATATATATAGGAAAAAAATGATATTGTAAGTCGTAATTTTCGGCTAGTAGAGTTGTACACATGTCAAATGATTGACCTAAAGCCTAAATATGTTATTTATTAAATTGTATCAAAATTAAATTAATTGAGTTGAATGAACTAACAATGAATAATAGTTTGATTCAAAGTTCTCATAAAAAATTAGTCAATAAAATAGAGTAATAGACGATTATTATAAAGTAATTTCTTTTCATTATTCTAATTTTGGTGAAAAAAAATTA